TCATGCGTAACGTAGTAGTCACAAGCAAAGTCAGGACTGGCTTGGTACAATTGCATCACTTGTTATATTCCCCCCTTCCCGCGCTTTTTTCCCGCCCCGCGATCACGTTGCAGCTGCGGATTATTGGCCCCCAATAATCCCCCTTGATTGTCCATGATGGCAGGTCCGGTCAGGGTCCATTGTCCTTGATTGCCAGTTCCCCTCCGGCTGGGTCGGTCCCTCCCTGTTACGTGCAAGCCCGCGGGTTCTGTGCTGCGTTGCGATCTTGTTTCGCTGCCTGCGGCCCCGTTCATTGTTGGCTCGCGCCGTTATCAGTTTATAGTTAAAAGCTTCCGCTGCGGTTTTCCTGTTTGGCTGGGCGCAGGTGGCCCGTTAACTAGCGGTGCTTTCAGTTCCTCTTTTCCCCGCTAGCTACCACCGGTGGATTCCGCGTGGTCTGGCTGCGAGCTTCCCTGAAGCCCCGTGCTGGCCGAACCTGACACATTGCACAGTATGGAGGGGGGTGAACCTGGTTTGGTTATGGTACTAGTCGAAAAGGTAGGAGTTGAATGAGTCAGAGAGTGATGTGGCTAATGCAGTTTTAGACTACAATAGTTAAGAGAAGAATTACTGTATTTTCAAATCCACTTCATTCCATGAGTACTGAGTCCTATTCTGGCATCACACTTTAAAAATAATTCCAACCATTGGAACAAGGTCAACAAAGAGGGCCCAGGGCGAAGATCTCTCTACCAGAAACTAAATCCCCTGAAGCAAAATTACCAGACATATTTAGCCATGAGGAGAGACAACTGAGAAGGGCAGTGGTCTTCAGGCCTGAAAGATTGGCCCACAGAAGAAAATCCACACCTACTCTCTTTCATGGGAGGTTGGTTCTGACTCAGTCTTAGAGAAACATTTAAATAAGAATACCAGCAGTTTGACAGTGGAACTAATTTCCAACAGGGCTCCCTTCACCTAGAAGTGTTCCAGCAAAAGCTCAAGCATCAGTCAGGGATGCTTAATTTGAGTTCAAGCACTGGGCGGCCTAAGTAGCCCTCTCCAGCCTACACTTCTTAGCTGGTGGTCTTCTCCACATTTGCAAGTCTGGTTTAGTGTCCTTTGCAAGGAAGACGGTCAGTCCCCAGGATGGATTTTGAGTTGAAGCAGGCACTTTTTTATTTGATCTAGCACCCCCATTTGGAAGTAGCCCCTCCCTGGGAAGCAAGGACAGTTTGCTCCATGGTGGCCCAGATGACCAGAGGCCAGTTCCTGGGTCTTGCACAGCATTCCTGGTGGGAGGTGCTCTCCTACAGATCTCTTTTCCTTCAGTTTCATTGGGTATTTTCACTCACATATCAACCAATATACCACGTGATACCCATTTTTCTTGTTCCTAGTATTCTAACTGTTAGGCAAAGCTTGCTGATTGTCAGTAAAGTTAACAGTTCTAAGGCACGGTATATTTGGCATATTATTCCTTCAGAATGTTTTTCATGAGGTCCAGAGTGGAGCTTAGAAAATAGTCCATAACAAAGCAGTGAGGTGGTAAGCAAGGAAGCAGGTTTCATCGCCCAGCACCATAGCAAACCACAGGGGAAAGATTAGGAGAAAAAAGCAACAAAGTTTTGGGCACTGCCTGGAAGAGCCAAAGGGATTTCCACATGCCAATTTTCTGCCCATATGGCAAGGCTAGTAGTTCCTGATAGTATCTGACAGAACAGAAGTTCCTGATAGTACAAGGACACAAAGAGTAGGCAGTGGGAGGCAGCGGCAAAATAGTTTGCATTGTCACCCGTGGTGTAGCATTACACGAACATATGTTCACAAGGAGGGTGAAGCTTCATGTGAGCTTAATTGAAATTTCTCGTGACTCAGAATCATTGGGTTGGACCGTTAATTCCATCAAGCCCCCTCATTGGTACAGGAATCTCTCCAGCCCCAGCTTGAATACATCCAGGACTTCCCAGGTCATTGGCTCCACCATCAAACTGCTCTTACAAATTCTGACTTCCAAAATTCTGCCTTAAGACCACTGCTTGTCCTCTGAAATCCTGGAGAACAGGCCTTGGTGTTTGCCTGTGTGGTTCCCCATTGGGTCATTGTAGGGCACTATCAGGCCTCTCTTCTCAAGGCCAAATGTACCTGCAGACAAGGACCTAGCTTCCTGATCATCATCACACCTGGTTTCCTTTGGGCCCGTATTCACAAGGTTGGCCTGCTAATAAGTTGCAGATGGAGCACAAGCAATAGCTCACTGCTGAGAATCCACAAAATGAGGTGGCTGTTTCTCTCAGCAGGAACGTGCCCACCACATTCAGATTAGGCCAACACTTAATTCCTAGAGTGCTCAGGACTAACCTATGAAGAAGGGCTTTCCAAAGACAAAGAAAATTTCATCACCATGATCCACTTTAATAAAGTCTGGTTTAAGGCCTTTGTGTGCAGTAGGACGATGCTGCAATTCATAAACATAGGTTGGATAGCCAGCATCTGAAAAGACAAGAACATTGCACAGATGCTTCATTTCTTATTATCCCAGGATTTGCTCTATAACAACCAAACATTCTAGCCAGACCCTCACAAAACACCATTCTGGGTGAGTGGGAAGGAGGCTGCAGGGAGCAGGGAGGAATCTCTCACAAGCCTACAGACAGAAAGTTTTGTGTGCAACTGAAAACAGTTTGAGATGTTTGTGATGCTTTATCTTCTGCATGTGTCAGGACAAAGAAGTTTTGCTGTGACCAAAAGAAGTGATTGAAATTTGTCTCTAGCCTGAAGCTTCCAAATTTTGATGCAGGCAGGGGGCCTCTTCCCTCCCCCCGCCACAAGTGAGCAATGCAAAAGAAACAAAGCAGGTCAGTTCGATGCTCAGATGCAGGCTCTGTCCACCCTCACCACAACCTGCCAGACCCCTGGGCCGCAAGTGGGGAGAGATGACCTGTATAAGCTGGGAGGACTATGAGTCTCAAGAGAGGCACCTCCCTGGCTTGACTGCACCCTCCGCAGACCCTGGTCAGCAGTTTGTTGGGGAGAGGCTGCTGAGTTGGCCAAGAGCTGCCTGTACAATTTCCTTTGATGCACAAAGACAGGCGCCTATCAAAACTACACCTCCCAAGCTCCAACCCGCTTTGCCCTCCTGCATCATTGTCCATATTAGTGGATGGTTTCCTGCTGGCTAGTGACCTCCAGAAAATAGGAGGGTAGCAAACTCAGAATGTTTCACCAGTTGCTTTGTTTTACGCTCCCTGTGCATATTCAAAATAGAGGTGAGATGCAGGCCAGGAATGGGCAATGGCGACAGTGTAATGGGGAAGATAGCCCCCTCCCCTCCCCTCCCTTCCCCACCAAACTACAGCATAGCTTTGAGTTTTGGTTTTGAGAACATCACTAGCATTTTTTTTTTTAATTGCATAATGCTAATAGCTCATGGGTACCCCCTATGCCCAGGCAGAGCTGACAAGTCAGGAGAAATCTCTCTGCTGCAAATGTGCAGATAGTCCCAAGCAAACCTAAAATGTTGCTGCTAGCCTGTTCTTGTAACTGTCTGTGGGAAAGACCATGGGAGACAGGCCCAGAGACGCTTCCAAGGAAACGGTCAGATAAGAGACAGCATAGCCCACAGCTGGATAGTGGCTGGGGCAAGAGACACAGAACAAACCTTCCCTAGTTTCCCAGTCTGTAAAGGAGATGGGAGGAGAATTGCACTGTTAATGTAGAATGTAGTGTATGTATTACATTAATGTAATGTAATAAAGTAGAATTAGCTCATCTGGTCATGTTTCCTGTCTGGTCTACCTGGTAAGCCTGACAGTTCTTTTGAATTTGCAGCTGGCTGGCTGGAGGATGGAGGGTTTTGGTCAAACAGATGAAATCTCTTGATTCCTTTTGGCTGGTGATGGAAGGGGAGAGGAAGCCAGTCATTGTCCTAGATCTCATTAAGACTGCTCAGACCTGATTGGTTCCAACAGCAACTGACCTCGGTGGTATCTGGCAGTAAGAATGCTTGGAGCAACAAATACAGCATCGCTCAGTAATTCCAGCAACTGGTCTCTGAGTTGTACTGGGTCCTGGAGATCCTGGAGATATTTATCGGCAACCAGAGAAACATGCTGAGGAGCAACATTCTGTAACAGTCAAAGAAAGGTGTGCTGTCCATATTACAGCCACATTAAGACTGACATTCAGGTTTTCAAGAACTGTTTTTAGAATAAGCATACATGTCTAGAGAACTTCTTTTATAAGCATTTTGTAAAATTAATAAAGAAAAATAAAGAAACCTAAATACACAAGAGAACCTTTGTGAGTATCAAGGACTAAGCCCATCACCTTTCCCTGATTTTCCCTAATGTGCCTGGCTCACTCCATGCTCCCAGATCTAAAAGTTGTCAGGACCTGCTCCTTTGCTAGCATGGGTTGGGGAATAAAGGCCTCTCAAAATCTATTGCCATCTCTGAATTCAACAGGGGTCAGCATAAAGGCAAGCATGGTTGAGTCTCATGATAAGTTCAGCCACACTGAGAAAATCCCTCTTACCGTGAATTGCTCTGTGCTGCGTAGCAGAAGGTTCACTGTCTTTTCATCCAGTCCTTTTGTGAAATCTGGAAACTGGAGAAGCTAGACAGGGTGAAACCAAATTATTAATTTTGGGTGTAATCAGTACAGGGGACCAGAAAGGCAGCAGGCAGAACTTGACCAACAAAGGGGAATGACCTACCTTAGGAAGAATCCACCCAAACTCATGATTATTGACACCAATGATGTGTGGAAGATTATTGAAACTTTTTTCTGCTAAGAGCTCCTTGGGACTTTTTGGAAAAAATATACCATCAACCACTGCAGGGAAAAAGACAATGTGCTGGAGAGGAAAAATAAATCAATTTGATGTCTTTTAAAATATTATTTTCAAGAAAAGCACAATAAACCCCTTCTAAATTATGGTCAACAGAAATGGGTATTGGGAGAACATTATTGATTTCTGTATACATGTGACAGTTTTACATTGTTGTAACTTGAATTCTGCATATTTACAATGCAATACTGTATTTTTATAAATTCTCATCTTCATTGTATTCATTTGTCACTTATACTGTACAGTCCTAAATCTGAGACACGCTGACTCAGAAGTAACTTTCTATGAATTCAATGGAACTCTCCTTTACATCTGATCTGAGAAGACAACTTCAAATTATATAGTTAATTATTTCCTTCCCCCTTTTCCGCTCTTTCTTGTTTTGTTTTTAGTTTTTCATGTATTTCTTTCCTGAGTTGGGTTTTATTTCCTTCTAATTTTTCTGTTTCTTTCTGTAAAACTTGCTCATACATACATACATACATACATACATACATACATACATACATATTTTTAAAATGACATTGACAGTGGTCAGGTCGGTATTTGTCAACCTTGCGAGATAGTCCAGACAAGAAGCACACCCAGAAGTACCAGCTCTACTTTACTGTAAGGTTCCATTAACAGAATCTTGCAAGTGTGAAAGTGCATCTTGCCCCCATTGCCTTTACAGCCCATGCAACTAGGGGGGGGTCTCTCCTGAGCCTCTTGCCTGCCCCCATTCCTGCCGCGGACTCAGCTGCTGTTTGTCTGACCATTGTCTACTCTGCAGCTCTTCTATCTACCTGTCTGCCAAGGTCATTCCCACATACTGTTACAGTATTCTACCACAATGAAGTCTATTATGACTTGAATTTATTACATTTATTCATTTGAGCAATATCGTACCTTTCCTCTGGAACACAACATGAGCTCCATGGTACTCCCCCCACCCCACCCCAATTTTATGCCTGTCATTTTTTCTGCCCAGAGACAGAAAATTGCATTTGCCTCTGCTGAAATTTATCTTGTTTGTTTGCACCCAGTGTTTCAGCTTGTTAAGATCCACCCACATCTTGGTACTGTCTTCTAAGATACATACAGTACTTGCTCTTTCCTCTCTTCCGTTTTGCCTGCAGATGTGGCAATGGTATTTCCTAACTCTTCAGGCTGTGGGACCACTTGACCCTTCCTTCCACCTCAATGGGGAGACACTGACATACACCCACTGGGTCAGATGGTTCAATCCATTCTGTACCCATCTAAATGCAGTGTAGCCAATCCAACGTTTGGCCATCTTCTCTAGTAGGGTTTCATGGGAGATCTTGTTGAATGCTTTGCTGAAAATCGAGGTACATTCTATCTCCTGATTTCCTGTGGACAATTAAACTGGTCACTCCATCAAAAAAGAAGATCAGGTTGGTTTGGCCTGGCTTATCTTTGATAAACTCAGGCTAGCCTCCTGCCAAGCAGTTCATTCTTTTCTCTATGATCACAAACTGACTGCTTGATAATCTGTTCTAGAGTTTTGCCAGTATCAATGTCCAGGTGACTGGTTTGAATTTACACAGGTCTTCTTGTTTCCCCCTTTTAAAATTAGGAACAACTTCCCTTCTCCACTGTTGTGACACTATAACTGTCCATAATCCTCAAAGATTACAGAAAGGGGCTCCAATATGACATCCACAATGCCTTCAAGGCTCCTGGGTATAACTGCTCAGATCTTGGAGACTTACATTTGATCATGAAAGCAGATGCTTCTTTCTTTCCTTACCTTGGGTTGCCCTTCCCTTTTTCAAGTCAGTTGTTCTGCTAAGGTCCAGTTGAATTCAGTTCCCTTTTGGGGAGAAGACCAAAGCAAAGTCCAAGTGAAGAGGCTCCACCCTCTCCCCATCACTCATGACTATCCTACCAACCTCTTCTAGCAGGAGGCACATTCTTTCCTTTTCTTCCTTTTACTACTGACATAGAAGTCTGTTGTGTCCCAGTCTTTGGGCTGAATGTCACTGGCTGGAAAGGAGTCCTGAGAGCAAACATGAATCTCTGAAGGACCAAAGTGGACAGGAGGCAGGTATGAAGGTAATGCCTTTTTGTGACCCTCCCTGGCAGAGAGTGAGACCAAATCCTAACTCTCCCCCCATTTTTATAATCCTTCTTCCCTTTCTTACTAAGGCAATACCTTTCCATCTCTTGTTATGTCAAGGATGAGAATGCAACAAGGAGAAAGGGGAAGGGGAGACATAAATTCTCTAGGACTAAAGACAAAGCATAAACTTTGGCATCTGGCACTTCATTTATGCTGCCTGCTGCTGCTGCTGCAGCTGTGAAGACAATCCAACAGACCGTCTTGGTTGGCTTCCACCAAGGTTGGTGGCAGAGGGGTGGATGTTTCAGTGGGGATGCCCTACACCACCCACACATCATCAAGGTCCTGCATCAGCAGGAGCTGGATAGGAGTGATGTGGCCTCAGCCAAGACTTGGTGCTTGCTCTTAAGGGCCGCCTTTCTACTCTTGCTGGACCGTTGGTAAGTTCTATTCGTACCCTAAGAGACTTCAGTGGTCCTGCAGATTTGCACTCATACGAGGTCAATAAATATTCCCTGACTAGGTATTTATCATGCTCAAGCTTCAACCTTGCCCTTTCAACGTATGCTTCACAGTTGTCTGGTGGAATTTCTCATGTCAGAGAAAACGAAGCTTCAGCAAGTGTGGAACTGTTCTGCTTTTTCTATTGGAAAGCTACCCTCTTAAATGAATAGCTCATCAATGGCTTCCTCCTTTTATTTTTAAAATGCCTGAAGAAACTTACTATAGTTTTTGATTGCCTAGATTGAGGAATGCTGTGGACATAATCTTGAGTTCAGTAAAAAAACCATCTCACAACATTCTCACAACATTCATACATTAGTTAAGTACTCCTAGTCCGACCACGCTGCTGCCTGTATGTCACATGGCGAACCCCCAGATGACTTGAAATGGCATTGACTGAACCTTGCTTCATGTCCTATTCTGGACACCACATTCAAGAGTTGCAGGGGCAGCACTGGTGGGTGGCAAAGCTAAACTGAGTCAGGTCTGGTTGGTTCTCGGATGGAAGTATCAGGGCTAGACACCAGCCTCCTGTGCAGCAGAAACCTAACCGTGCAGAAGCCGTGTCCTTGCCCTCTCAGAGCCCGTGCACATCCTAAATCAGTGCTGGGTTTCCTCGGGATCTAGTGGATGGAGAAGCCAGAGGAGCCAATGCTTTTCAGGATTGCGAGACTGGGCAGAGGCTGGGGGCTGGGCGAGGCTGTTGCAGGGTGTGGTAAAAAAAGGCAAGACGCGCAAGGCACATCAAAAGCAGACAGAACGTCAATTGACCTCTTTCATCATGCCCTGCAGACATGCCTGATCTGGACACATCCCAACAATGATCCCAAAGAAGGGGATTGGATCTTTCAAGTGAACCTGAAAAAAAGCAGCACTATGTGAGAAGTCTCATAGGCCACAGCCCTGAAAGCAAAGGTTTGCTCAGCAACATCATGATGCAAGAAAAACAGATTAAAGTTTGGGGAACTCGTTGCAAAAACTACTATTACTCCCACTAGACAGAAGAAGCTGGCCAAGTGTGAGGGAGTGAAGTTGGGGTTGCTGTCCATGCTTGGGAAAAAGAGCTGCAGCGAGGCAGAAACGCTTCTCACCCCATTCCCCTCATTCCCTTCATCCCCCTAGCTCAAAGTGCCTGTGATCACTGAGCACCCCATGGTGTTTTCAAGGTTACCTCCCGAGGCAACTTCACCCACCCAGGCTCTTAGCTTACAAAAGCAAAGGCCAAGACAGAGGGGAGGGGGGCGGGTGTAGGAGGAAAGGGATGAGCAAACGGCCTACAGACACAGACGGGGAAGTGGAGGTGCATCTGGTGATCGGCAGCTATCAGAAGCAGGCAAGAGGACTATCATTCCACTGCCAGGACCACGATGGTGATTAGCATATCCTGGCGGGTGTCCTGCCTGGAGCTGGAGTTTGCCAGAAGCTCAGGAGCAACCAGAAGAGGAACAACCCACCCTGAAGCAGCCCCTCATCTCAACTAATGCCAGAATGTTTGCAGAAAGGCAAAGGTTGTGTGCTCCTTTATAGACTTTGAGACGTTTGTATTAAAAGACATATTTACATGGCAACATCACTTTGCAAGTCCTAGATGGATGGAGAGTGGTAGTCTGTTGTGGGGAAGGTGTGTGCTGCAATAAAGCATTTTGTACAGATTTGCTATGATGTGATGTGTCCAGTCCTTGGAAAGCAAAGGTCCCCCACCCCAAGACAAAGCGAGGGCGAATGTCTGACAAAGAGGAGCCTCCTCTGGAAATACAGAAACCGCTGCATCTGCTTGGCTTTGTTGTGTTCTGCCAGTTGGAATATGATTCGTCCTGCGAGGAGATCAGCTCCTGCTATATAAAAAGTTTCCTGTACGAGAGAGGAACTTATACTATCAATGTTGTGATCTTGCTGTAAATTTTGAATGCCAATCCCTGCTCCTCAGCTGACCCCCTGAAAAGCATTTCTGCCTCTCTCGTTCTTCTGCCTCCCAGATTTCTTCTGGGTTTGATTTGCTTTGAAGGTGCTCTGAGCACTTTCATGAGAAAAATGTCTGCCCACCCCCCTTGCTTCCTACCTCCCTTCAACAAGGCAAATGCTCGACTCACCTTTTCTTCTCCACCCAGATGCAGCCTGGTAAAATCCTGCAATTACAGGGGGAAGCAGGTCAGATGAGGATGAAGAGGCTGCAGCAGCCTCGTAGAAAATAATAGGAGCACCTCCTGTGTCTACGCTTCATTGTCAATCACACTTTATAGGGAATCAAGAAAGAAGTTCAATTCTCAACTGATTGAGCAACATGAAATGATCTTGAACATAATTCCATCTCCCCCCACCCCACCAGGACCCCAACAGCCACAATCATGGCATCCCCTCCCTCTGAACTGTCCTTGTAGAGAAATGGACAGCAGTGAGGTCTGTTGGGGTCTTGTGCCCCTCAGCTGGGTCTTCGCTAAGAGGTCAGGAGCCCCTACGAGCGGCCAATTGCGAGGACTGCAGAACCCGCCTAAGGCAATCAGCAGAAGGAAGGAAGAATGTTGGGGGTCTTTTAGCGGGGGTTTCTGCTGGGTGTGGCCAAAAGAGTCAAGATGGCGGCCATGACGGTATGGCTGAAGCTTCGCCTGCATGTTATGAACACATAGCGTACATAGAAAACAGATGGGGCTTTGACTGCACCACTGCGCCGCCATCTTGGCTCTTTTGGCCACCGCGGCAGACAGTCCCCCCACCTGCTCCCTCGGCTGAAACAGTTTGAAGCAGATGAGGAGCAGCTCCTCACTCTTTCTCTCCATAAAGGACCACAACGTATTCCCGAGGGCCTTACCATCTTCAGAGTAGCCAATAAGATTTCACTCTCTGTTTTCCCTCTGAGGCAGTGAACCATCTCAGCTGAACTGCAAGTTGGGCAGCTAACAGATTCAGCAATTTTCTGCAATCCAGAACAACAACTCAGTCCTTATCATGCGTAATAATAGAAATACCGCAATAGACATAGCCTGAGCAGGGTTGTCCGGCCAGCGTTCAAAAGATTGAAGGTGCCAGATGTTATTTAAGCAAGATGGAGGAACACTGTCCTGGCTGCCTATTTGAAATGGGCTCAGACAGAGACAGTGAATACGGAGTAAAATCTGCAGAGCAGAGGGAAAAGATTGAAAAGCACTCTTCATTCTATCTGTGCTCCAGTAGTAAGCTTGAAAAAAATAATTCTGCAACTATTAAGGAACAGCTGGCCGTAGGTGATACCAGCTGGCCGATGCCCGTGTAATGGAGCAAGCGCATGGACCGTGGTCTCCGGGAAACAGCCGTACTGCCCCAGCCACTTTGCTCCGGAAGAATCCTCTGGAGACAAGGGGCAACCCCTTCTTCCAGGAGCCTGTCCCAGATGTTTTCCCCCTCCTTCCTCCTTCCCTTGGAGAAAGGTTCCTGGCTTCTGCGCCCTAGGCCCAGAGCCATTGCTGCCTCGCTCCTCCAAACCTCACCGTAGCCAGCTTCTCTGGATGGGCATCGAGCAACACATCTAGTATGGCAACACCGCTTTCTGAAATCGCTTTGTGGAACAAGCCTTTTGACAGAGGGGATAACACCTGGCCAGGGAGGAAAATGAAAACCACTTTATTCAATTAACCCATTGCCATCACTCAATAACTGCACTGTTTCTGCCCTAACTGCATTTGGCAAGAGGTTATCAAATCCATTTGATTCAGGCGTTAATTGTACAAAAATGCCTTCCTCTGCAGAAGACACTCATCCACGTGTTACTCTTTAAAGTCTTTACTGTTCATTCATGCTTTGTTAATCTACAAAACGTCACTTTTTAAATGATGTTTTTAGCATTGCTGCATTGAATTCTTTTTGTTAATACAAGCAAGAAATTGTTATACAATATATGTTTGCAATCCTGTGTCAAGCCATTCTCAGTAGGCCAAAAACTGTGGGAATTACTAGAAATGAAATGAGACATGAACCTACATGGGCAGAAGAGCTGAATCCACCTGCTGAATTTCCAAATATGGTAACTGATGTTGGATCACCTCCAAAATCTGCAATGTTCTCCTGGATCCACTGTAGAGCTGCCACTTGGTCTAGCAGCCCCCAGTTCCCACGGGCATGTTCATCTCCAGTACTAGGTGGGAGAAGGAGAAGCAAGGAAATATGGATCCAGAGGGGGTCAGAGACCCACTGGCCAAAGGCAGGATACAAAAGCCAGCACATTCTCTCTCTCGGCCTTCAAACATTCATGCGTAGGAGTGTCCCTGAACCACACTCGGAGATGCCCTCCCTCCCCCTGGTCTTCAGGGCTGTGACACTGGCAGAGGTATTGCAGCCGTACAATCCAAATCTGGACTGCAGCCAATATCTCACTGGGCACCCAGGAACTCACCATGCCAGATCGGCACTTTGGGTCAATCTTGCATCAAGGGCTATAGATATTCACGTGCAGATATGATCCACTCTTTAGGGGAGGAAAGGGTTATTATCGTACTGCACATCCGAGTGGCCCTTTCCAAGCCCCACCTGCTCCCCAGGCTCCCTGGGTGACCTTGGTCCAGGCAGTACCTCCCATCTCAACCCACCTTGGAGGGTTGTTTTCTGGGGGATAAAATGGAGGGGGAGGTGTGACAGGACACCAGCATAATCAGAATTAGCCTCAAATGCCTTCACTTCAGGTACTGTAGCAGCTAAAGCAATGGAGCTTTCCCAGTATGGAGGAGTGGAGGAGCAGAGTTTTTGGGCAGGCAAAATATTGTTCCCTGCACAGGGCCCCCATTTTCCAGCAGGAGAGGGACAGATCAGCCTTTCCACTTTTGGGGACACCGTCAAAGTTGAGGAAGTGTAAGGAGCACCATTAAAAATATTACTGCTTCTAGGGATATGACTGTTCACAAAATGAATGCCCGTTTCCAAAGATCAGTCAGTCATCATGCCTGTGTCTGGTGCCACATTTAACCTTCTTCTCCCCATGTTTATGAAAGATTGGAAGCTTGCCATATTATTAGAACCCTTCTGATTTAACATATGCAAAGATTAAACTTCAAACCACTATGTAACTAAGATTGGAGGCAGCTGTTAACTTCATATTTTGGGAAATTGCTTAAAATATTGACTCTCCAACAACTGCTTTCCTGGAAAGTTGGGAGAACCCAACACCAGGGCCCAGTGAGAGGATGTGGTGGCCTGCAGCCCGGGCCAAAAACCTCACAAGCTGTAGTGTCTCCTTCTAGACATGACTTTCTTATGATGGTTTGGAACCAGGACAGCATGAGCCGATCTATGGTATGCTGAGCTGGCACAGGGGGTCTTAGAAAATTCAACCTTCAGCTCATAGGAAAGGAGAAGTATAGCTGAGTAGCAATAACTTAATGATGGGCTCCCCAAAATAGTTCTTGAAGCATCAAGGAATTGTCTCCTAATACCACTTTCTGGTAGTTCCCAGAGAGAAAGAACGAAAACTTCTGCCAAGCTCCCGACACCTGCCTTCCTCTGGGCAGCTGGGGGGGGGGTAGCAGGTGGTCAAGAGAATGGTAAGTGCGGAGAGACAGAGAAGGAGCAACTTAATCCCTGTGTCTCTCGAGCTACAGAAGGGACCTAGGCCCTCTTCGTGTGTGTCAGCTCTTGGTCTAAATCCAGGCCTAAAGAACTTTCCTCTAAGAGCTCATCGACCATTCCTTTAAGGTGGCAGGAAATTCAGTTTGTTGAAAAAAGGTGTTAATCATCTTAGGAATCACTGACAGGATCAAGTGGTTAGAGAACCAGATAAGTCAACCCCACAAGTTGGGGTAAAAACAGATCCAAGACCCTTTCACTTCCTCAACAGACTAGCAATGAGACTAGCTTAAAGAGATGTACATGTGGTGCACTGGATATAGTGGCTAACCCAACAAATATTACAACCATTTGAAAATGCAAACCCAAGTACCCAAACAGGAAAGACAGACAGGCTTTTTTGAAAGCCACTCAAGGGAGCAATTACCAGAATGAAAAGTTTACAAAAAGGTCTGCCTCTCCTGCCTCTCAGGGGAGGACTTTGGAGGTCCTGAAGGATCTCCTTTGCATGACCTCCCCCGTTGCTGTAGCCTGTGAAATACAGAGCAGAATCTCCCCTCACAAGCTCTGCAGGTACAAGCGGCCCTTTCATTATCTTTAACCCAATGGAGTAAAGATAATGATTACAATTATGAGCTTGACTCAGAAATGAACTGGGAAGCCTATTCACAGGACAGGTAGAAAACTCATTCCCAGATACAGTTTTATTTTCTGGATGAAATCTCAGTTTCTGAAGATGGGAAGGGGTCACAAATCCCCTTTTGTGGAAAATAATATCTACTGGTTTCAATGCGAGGCCATTTCTTTAAGGAACTGGTACCACTATTGGACCGTACCTACTGGTAGGAAGGGTTTGCCTTCCTGAATTTAAGGCCAACGTTTTGTGCCCTGTGCTCCACACTGCGCATTTCTGTTCTCTCTCTGAACAATGAGAGCAGTTTGTGAAACCCGATATTTAAAGGAACCTGAGCAACTTAGAGGAAGGACAGCATGAGCTCAAAAATATTTCATTCCATTCAGTTTCAACATCCCCAAAGTCAGTCAAGAAAGGCAGCAATTCCTGTAAGCTGTCTAGAGCCACCGTGAGTGAGTTGGGCGGCCAGATAAATTGCTAAAATAAAATAAAATAAAATAAAATAAAATAAAATAAAATAGTAAATTTGAAAAGGCCTCCTCCAGCATTTGCACTGGCACTGGTGGGGAGGCCCACCCAGATTACCTGATCCCATTCATTGCTTCTCTGAAACAAATCCGCAGGGATGTTTCTCTGCCCAGTCCTTTGCTTTTGGGTAGGCGTGAAGAATGACACGGATGAAGATGAAGATGATAATATTACCTTACCTGTAAAACCCAAGAATGCCCAAGCGGTACTGGATCGCCACCACCACCACATTTTCACAAGCAGATAAAACGGATCCATCATACGTGGATGCTGCGCCCAGCAGTAGTCCTCCGCCATGGATCCAAACCATCACCTGGAAGCAAAACACAACGGTACAACAGAGGCGGCTCTCCGTAAGGTGGGAACTGATGTACAAGCCCCTTCTTAAAACGTAAACTGTCTAAATATTGTGGAATAAGATGCAACATCAATACGCCATATTTAATTCTACTTGATTTCACCTTTGGCTGCGGGACCAAATCAAACACAGAAACAAGCTGGAAGGGCTTAAAGAAAGCAGCATTGCCTAGTGGAGTAACTGCTTACCGGTAACCGTCCTGCCTTTTCAGCATCGGCCGGCGTGTAGATGTTCAAGTACAGGCAATCCTCCCTGACGGGCCAGGAGACGTTTTCTGCTCTGTTGGTGAAGGCGTCCGAGAGCGCTTGTCCCACCAGCGGGTCCTGCAGGCACCTTGCAGAAGCCAACCAGGGGGGCGCTTCAGGACCTTCGGCTTGCCTGAAAGCGCCTGAGACCCCCTCCGGCTTCTCTGCCTCTGGAATAACTTCACCTTACTCCTTTCCTGGGAAAATGCCAGGAGCTGAGAAACCTTCCCTCCACCTGATCTTCCTCCAGCTCCTGATTTTGCTTCTTATCTTATCTTGTCTTATCGCTTTGCTTTTCTGAAACCAACCTGGGCATGGCTGGAACCGCTGACTTGCTTGGGAGAAGTGCTCCGTCACAGGGGAGGGGGCCTGCCCAAGCCCTCACCCAGGGGCTCACCCAGGCACATGGATCCGTGGGGGGAAGGGCCGCTGCTGAAAATGCCGGCAAGTCATTTTATCGTTTTTGTGGGTGGGGATGAAGGGATTTGGGTTGATTTACCATCTGTGGAATAAAATGTACGCAGCTCCAAGATTATAGCACTGGCATCAACCTTTTAAAAAGTGGAAATGGCGTGGAAAGACTCCTTGATTTAACATGCTTCTAAAGGTGTGCAGAAGGCAAGACAGGGTTACCGTATGGTCTGGAAAACTCCTGTGTGACCATATCCCCTCCCCCAATTTGCCACCCAGGACATTTGAGTTTTCCATGAAGAAATGAAGGGAGAGGACACACTCCCCCGCCCGGTAATAGTCTGGAAGTCCTTACGGAGGACAGCCTAATAGTCAGTCCTACACCTTTCTCGGTGATGAACAGTCATCCCTCTGTGAGGAGGGAGACAGAGAGACCGACAGAGACAGAGAAGCACCTCCTCTGGTTTGGCGAGAAGTTCCTGACTTACATGGGCGGGCGAGAGGTGGCATCTCGGACGCCGGTCCAGGGATCCACCGGCTGCGGGCGGGAAAACCGCAAGGGCCCAACGGGTGGTCTTGCGAACGGAATCCCAAGGAAAGCCTCCACGTCCGTCTCGGCACCAGCCACCCTGATCCGCTGCCCCCGGAGTGCCCCGTGTCGGGTGAGCACCTGGGGGGGGCTGGGGGGTTTCCCTGTGCGAGAAGCAGGAACTCATGATTAAGAAGGCCGGAGACCTTTCCTGCTTTCCTACACAGGAGATAAGACGGTTACATGCTATACTTTCTTATAAAGTTTGTGGTAGCTGGGATATGTACTTTTTCCTGGAAAACACCACCATAATTTTCATGTGTTTTTTTTTTTTAATCAACCCCAAAATAGAGTGGTTGTAAGAAACAAAATGGTTACTTTGGAGGAATGCAGAATATGTGTTTATGGATGTAAAGAGATAGACATGATTCCTCTTCTACTTAAATTAAAGAAAGTTTATCCCAGGCGTCGTCAATAGATGAAAATGCCCAGTTGCCACCAGTCAGACAGGAAGAGAACCCTGCCTGCCCAGCTAGGAAGAAAGTAAGCCAAGGTCCGCCATCTCGTGACAAAAGCAGCGAAAGAGTGAGGCAAAGGGGAGCGGGGACAGAGAGTCAATCCTTAATTCTCTTTCTATCCCCCAACTGCACCTTTTGGTCAAGAGGTCAAGAGGGGCTGAAGTCCACACTTTGCATTCTCCAGCTAGCGTGACCCACAGAACCCCCTCCTCAGGTGTCAGCCCAGATCCATGGCTCTGCTTACATTTGACTGCATCTGGGTCTGTACAGTTCTGGGGTTCTGCAGCTCTTCAGATCCAAAGCGGAAGAGGTGCCGAGGGGGGCATGAGGGCTGCTGGCACCTCCTTCAAAAGCCACGCCTTTTTCTGGACTTACACAAACTGCCTGATCCCAAGAAAATGTGCACTTCTGTTAAGGAGGCAATGAGATTTTCAGACCTTGTTGCTGCTTCCTTAACACCTCCTTAAATCAAACATGTTTTTGGGACTGTGTGGCTGCCATGAGGACCCAGGAAAAGGGGCAGCTTCTTTAAAGTTGTGCCAACCACTGCATCTACCCTCAAAGCACCTTTTTTGCTTCAGACCCAAAGAACTGCCCATCCAACACCATTGCCTGGCAAGAAGTAACATTTTCCTGTCCATACAGCTTGAACCCACAACATTCTCAGGGCTGTGACTGGGGGTTGCAATGGTATGTGGGAATGACCTTGGGAGAAGGGCGAAGAGATGCAGCCAAGGGAATGGTCAGATAAGAGACAGCATAGCCCACAGCTGCATCACAGGCAGAGAAAGAAACTCAGAAAGGACCCTCCCTAACTTACCAGGCTGTAAGAGATGGTGGGAGATTTGTGTTTTCAGACTTGCAAGATTCTGTTAATGTAGCCTTACGATAAAGTAAAATTAGCTCATCTGGTCATGGTTCCTGTCTGGTCTACCTCGCAAGGCTGACATCAAAGGCTGACCATTAGGGTTTTGTATCTCTTGGGTGTCCTCCAGTGGTCAGGTAAATTGTGGAGCTTAAGTGCTGCTGAGAAAGGGGTTCAGTGTGAGGTTTGGTGTGGGAACTGTAACCTACCTTAAGAACATCATGTCAGGAGAAGCAGGAAGGTGCCCACAGCTGCTGGAAAAGGAATTCCCTGCCAGCCAGGCTACAGAATACAACAGCCAAGCCTTTTCAAGTACACTTTCAATTACATGCATTCAGCCAGGCCTGGGCTGATCAATTTCAAGACTTTGCACTTTCTAGGTCAACCCACTTTAAAAATGGCTGTGGGGAAGAGGCGTTCTGGTCTCCCTTGCAGCCAAAAGAGGAGTGAGGAGCTGGCCAAGAGCTTGGGGTTCAGGCTGAAGGGCTGGTCCCACAGGAACGTGGCAGAACTGATTGCTGGCCCAGAGCACGTTGCTCCAGCTGCCTGCGTGATTCACACCCGCATGTAGCATCTTGAGGTGGAACAGTGGGAAGGCACCACTTCCAAGAGGTCCTGAGATCCAGGGGGCAGTGTGAAGACATGTGCTTGAGAAAAGGTTAGTGTGTCGTCCTGGTGGTGGGCCAAGGAGGCTGGGTGGATTTGCCCACAGACTCAGTTGCTGCAGCAGCAGGTCGCAGATGTCCTGCATTCATGTTTTCATTTAAAGAACAGCAAGTGTAAGTACTGGCACGTTCCAGGATGTTTCATAACATCTGGCCTACAACGTCTCTTATCTAGCTACACCTCCCTCCCTAGCTTTTCTGAGATTGGCCCAGTCCGTCAGATGTTGCCATCGGCTGCAATGACCCTGGGTGGTGAATCCTCAGCAGTTTTTCTGCCCAGCTACCCCTCTGGCCTCCACCTCCTCTCCACCTGACCATGCACAGCTCTGGCCACTGAAGGTGGCCCTCAGGAAGGGACAAGAAGAGAACAGAGCTTGTTCTGGGTGAATTGTCCTGTGACTGAACTAGACTCTTCCTATTTGCTTTTCAAACTGCCACACTGACTTCCCACCTCTGCCTTATAGCCGATCCTCTCTAATGTGTCTCCATCCCATACAACTACTTAGACCTGTAAGCAGAACAAAATGGGATCTAATGGTCAGGTAAAAGATTTAGGAACTCTGCCACAAGCATGTCATTCTTGTGTCTAAGCTGTGAAGCCACTGACTGAGTCAATGTGGACCACCGCAATCATGAGGTTAAATGTAGGCTTACTACTAAAAACCACGGATGACAGTCTGCGAAATAAAAATGTCAGTGACCAAAAGGGGGGAAATTGTACGCAAATAGAGAAGTGGATGCCCTTGATAGAGCCTAGCACATAGCATAGTTGAGATAAACATTGCTTAGTGCATATTTTTCTAATACAGATACTTATCTTACCATGATGTCACCTGTATTCAAGCATGGAGTGCTTGACATCCATCTTATAACCAATGTTGTTGTTCAGTCGTTAAGTCGTGTCCGACTCTTTGTGACCCCATGAACCGGGCAATATGGCGCAATATATATGGCGCTTATAACCAATAATCCGTTGTAATTTGACTCTCTCTGTTCCAGTAGAGTAGATATAGCCCACATTTGGCAACGGGAGGGGGTCTTTCACTTTGGGAGTGTTATTAACCAGTGTGACTGGCCAGGCTCTGCAGACCCTTACACTTAAACTATTTTGGAGACTGAGTATTGGGTTCACAGCCTTGACTAGGTAGACAAACAAACCAGGATAAACCTCACTGTAAAAATGGCTGAGACAGGAGCAGGAGCTGTGGTGCTCATGAGTTTTCTCTACAGCCCCCCTAGACCCTCCCTTTTGCAGCCAGCACTGCCTTCTCTTCTTCCTTCCAAGCACCCCTATGCAACAATATGCTACCTCGCAGCTGGCGGTGGACTGGCTCTGTGCAGTGCAGGCGTGTGGCCAAGGGCAGAGCAGCTGTCCTGCTCTCTCAGGAAGCCAGAGAAGGCCCCCGGTGGGACCCGCCCAGGGCACCTGGTGCAAGCTGGGAAGCCAGTGAAGTGGCTCACCTGGGAAAAGGCACACATGCATGAAGCATTTGAGGAAGGACATGTAATAACAGCATCATTTGCAGGATGGGGCAACTGCTAGAGCTCCCCTTCTGCTGTAATTCTAAGAGATAATGATTTATTTCTGTGCTTTCTACCCATAACAAACATGGAATAGGATTCTACAGAATCATAAAACCATATTCTTGGAATTAAAGCATTCAAAATAAATATTAGATTATTGTTGATTGCAGTCAATGACCAATCAGTTTGACAACCCAAATACAAAGACACCAGAAAAACGATACAACAACAAAATATTGCATGATCAAACTGGAAGATGTGAAGAGAGCTATCAAAATACATCAACTGGTCAAAGCCTAAAATTGTTGTTAAAACTGTTATAAAACAAGATTAAATACATTTTTGCTTTAGCATTGGGAGACCATTTAGACATACAGGTAGTCCTCATTAGCGACCAGCCACTCGGATGTTAAGCAAAGTGGCTGCAAAGTGAAACCTCAGTTCTCCTTATGATCTTACTTCAGCTTTCCTTTGCTTTACAGACCTGCAAAGGTCATAAATGCAAGGATTGGTTGCAAAATTACTTTTTCATCACCATCATAACTGCAAACAGCCACTAAATGAGGCAGTCACTAAACAAGGACTACCTATATAACTCAAAAGGAATTTATCTTTGGTTGTTACAAAGAGAACAAAAAATCCAGGGTGGTTGTCAGTCTAAAGAATGTTATGGATTTGGGAAACACCTCTGTGCCAGAGCTGAGAGTGGATTTTCATAGCTGTGCAACAAAATCTAACTTCTGAGTAGGGGATCCAGAGTTTGACAGAAGTAAGATGTATAATTCATCCTCTTTGCTGGTAAAGCTCATGTTATGAGAGAGACAATGCAAAGGAAGGAAAGGCTAACTCACACAGAAAGAGAGACATACAGTCTGAATTTTGAAGGGAAAATAGGGCCCAGTGTGAGTTTCATGGGCTCAAGCACATTTATAGGGTATTACATTAAGAGAAGGTCCTTTGTGGCTCGTTCCCAGGAGCGCTAACGCTCAGATTAGGGGCCACTGCAGGAAGGAGAGGCTGTGGGAAGACTCCCTTCAGGGCAAGAGAGACCAAGGGAGACAGGCGCCCGCCGTTACTCCTGACTTAATTCTAAAAACTGTAGTCAGGTCCTGAAGAGCATCAGACAGATGCTCTTCCATGCAAGCATACATTTTTCATCAAGACCATTAGGAGAAGTCACTCACCGACAAAAGTAGGATTTCGTTCCCCCAAATCAGTGCCCCAAAGACAGATTTTACTGCCATGAGAGGTTCTCAGTGTTGGGTTCCTGTAAGAGGATCAAGTCTTCCTGTTTACCTTACCTATATCTGCCAGAGATGGGTCCCAAAAAACTAGGAGGAGGGGCAGCAAACAGCCCCCTTTTGTGACCAGCTTCATTTCTGGTTAATTCTCAAAGCCTGAAACACCAGCAGAAGGGCAAGTGTGAGCTTATAAACAGAAATGCTTGTGTAATCTTCAACCACTGACGGTTAAATTCCAAAGAAAACAGGCTGTATCTTGTGTCCAATTGTTTCTGAAGTGCTCCTGTGTGGCCCCTCCCACATACCTGGGAAACCAGAAGAAGTGGAGAAAAGTTCAGAAGGGTGGGAGTGGATGAAGCAAGACCTCTGGCAACATTGGCTTGGTTTAATCTCATGCACTCGTGGCAGACAAAGAGCTGCTGCTTCATCTGACGCACAGTTGGCTCAGGAAACCAGCCTGCTGGCATCTGCTGTCTCAGAGGCGTTCTCCAATCCCATCTGCAGTATGGCAGAGTTGTGGCAAGGTTGCAAGGTAGAGCGTATAAAGTGTTTTGGAGTACCTCAAGTGTTACGTTTTCCTTATCATCCATGCTCAGGACACCTTTCCTCAAACTCACGTCCTGAAGACGGATCAGCCTAAAACTCCCATTTCCCTGGGGGCACCAGGAGATACAACTGGAATTCTGCGGACCAGGAAAGGTTGAGTGAAACCAACTGTATTTGATGAAGAGTTTGCAAAGTTTTGAGCTGGACGCACAACAGCAGAATTCCAGCCAAAGCCAAGGGGTTGATCCTGTTGGAGAAAATTTTTTAGAGGGAACTTGTGAATTTTCACCCCATTTGTGGCTTCTGAAGATGAGGTTCGTTTTGTCTACTCAAGCAGGACACTACAGTACTTCAGTCTCCAGGATTTATTATGAGTTTGCAAAGCCAGGTCAAGCATACATGGACATGTTTCCATGGGCAAGACTTTGAAAATAAAGACAATATGCTGTGTTTACAATTAAGCAACAAGGAACTACAGATGTGTAAAAATATGACCGGTTACAGAGAAAACCCAAAGAAAAAGATAAGTGGGCCAGACTTGCACTGTGCAAAGCAAAGCTTTCCACTCGCTCTAACAGTCTTTCTAAGCAGTCCTCCTCACATCTAGTACCATGTAGAAACTACTTCCTCTTGAAGCCTACTTGCTTGCTAAAGATTTACTGCTACGGTTCACTGTGGTTTACATATCTTACTATGTTCAGGAGCCCCATGCTAAAACATGTATTAATATTTAGACTGTTTAAGTTCTTCCTCAGTGTTATATAAGGCTGCAAAGAATCAAACATCACATATATAATGCATTGATAGGAATGTGATTTTGGAAATCATGGTGTATGCCTGGATTAAAATGTCAACTCAGGGTGTGGCTGCTGAGTGATTTTTGTGCTAGGAATCATTAGGAACTGCCACAGAGGAAAGCCCTGACCTAACCCTATGGCTTGACTGCTGTTGAAGAGTGGTGTACAGTTCTGGTCTTTCACCAGAGGAAGACAAGACTATTACAGAGCTGGAAGAGGGCAGCCAAAAATGACTAGGAGGGCACAGCAGCTGCCCTTGGGTAAAAGACTGCATTGATGGTGGACTTTAGGTTTGGAGCGAAGGTGGCTATGATGGAAGTGGATAAGAACTTGCTGCCATCAAATGAGGTGGTGATGGCAAGCAGTCACTAAGGGAAGATGGTGGCTGAGAAATGCCCTTCTGCTTGTCGAACTGGTCACTGTAATACCAGCTGCTGGAATAGGCCAGTCTTCGGCCTCATCCAGCTTCAGAGCTCCTCTTCCTCCAAGAACTTTGCAGATTGCCCAGGTTGCAACTAGCCTGGACTCAACATTAGTATAATAAAGAAACTTCCCTAAAATTCTTTGCCTTTGCAATGTAGTCAGAGTATTGTTCAACAGAATCAGAGTGTTGAAACTTCCTGGTATATTTCTCCTTCACTTGCTGGAATCTGGAATGACACCAAAGTTGAAGCAGCATTTTTTTTTTCTAAATGAAAGAAAATGAAAATACCATGAAAGTACTTTAGTAAACAGTGAAACAAATGGTGAAAAGATATATCTCACAAAAAGGCAAATATAGGAATAATTCTTAGGGCAATGAGGTTGTCAAAGAGGAACATTGATCAAATACCAATGCAAACATTTTATGGACTTTGGGGCAATAATAGCGCATGTTTCAAAGCTCTAGAGATAAACAGCTAATTGGAGCAACTCTAGGCAGCAGAGCTGAGCAACTGAAGCTCCAGGGCTCTGTGTGGTGTCCAAACGCATTTCTTGCAAACACCGGAACTCCTGCCAGCTACAGCGATCAAAACTCAGCAGAAAACCCCATTTCTTCTGCCTACTGCAGCTTCTTGGAAACCAAAAAAAAATTGCATTAAGAAGAGACTTTCTTAGAAAAAATATACAGTATATTCTATATAATGGGTCTTGGATTGCTAGCTGGAGATCTAGAAAACCACATTTCAAAAAGACCAACTAATCTTCCTTCCTGGCATTCCTGCAGCTGTGATATATGCAGAAGTTGGATTTCCTTCTTTGAAAGATCACAATCACAGATTCATATTTAACTATATGAGCAAGCTGAAAGCATTATCTGGCTATTAGTTTATTAATATGGCATTACAATATAATCACAACCTGTTTCATTTTTATTGCATTCTGGTGGCATCTCTAAATATGCTCAGTCTCTATTTCCATGATTAGAATATTACTCAGTATGCTCAACCCACATGCAGTATTTGAAAACACTCATATTCAAGCACTTTATTTGCTTAGTCTTATTTTCTCAAGTTTGCTGAACCCCTTTACAGCTGTTCATTTCCAGAAAATGTCACCTGCATCATGGAGTATCCATAAAGAATTTGCATGTATGAAGTTCTAAACTAGAATTTTTTGTGTGTTATTGGTATGGTCAGATGTTTGTGAGGACCATTGTGACTACAAGATCAATTTACTGATCAATAGTTTGCAGCACAGGAAATTTTCCTTTTCGGTCTGATGCCTCAAGAATTTGAGCCAAGGTCTATAGCCTACTCTACAACATTAATTTGATTGATTGTGTGCTTTAAGAACCCAGAGTACCTGACAGAGTAGCCAGAATGATCAGATCAGCAAGTGAGTCAAGTATGGGCTGGGTAGCATGACAATGAAGGGATACTGTATAAAAATGGTTTGAAAATTGGAATTCAAGAGGGCTCGTCAATGGCTCCTCAGCTACCTGGAGAACTTTGTTGAATGGGGAGCCACAAGGCTCAGTTCTGGTCCTGAATTCTTCAGTGTGATTCTAGGAGAAGACCTGTTGGCTTTAAGGAACGACTGACAGATACTCCAAAATCTAGTTACTCCTTTGAGTCCAAAATTGAGTGTGGAGCCACAATTTTTATTAAGAACTTGGATGAAAAAGTGGAGGGGATGCTAATCAACTTTGCTGATGATATCAGATCAGAAGTAGCTACCCTGATAGATCTAACAAGAAATGGGCAGAAAGTAACAGAATGAAATTTAACAAACACAAATGGAAAATTCTTCACTTACACAACAAAAAACAAATGCGCAGATATGGTGAGGGCTTAGTAAATGTTCTTGTGAAAAAGATCTTGGGATAGTTTCTAAATTATGAGCTGGCAGGGTGGTGTAATTGTACAAAAGGAGTAATGTTCTTCCCCAACCCTCTCCCTTAGGGACTCCGTTTCCCTCCAAAGCTCTCAAAGGAGCAGCTCTGGGCAAAGTGAATGTACTCTATTTGTATGGGATTCCCAAGAAAGTGGAGCTGAAAGCCAGGCTGATCAGTACAAGCTTTACTGAAGGCAAATACTTCTCTGCTTTCTCCCACTCCAGCTGAACTGAGAGCATCTGAACTGCCCAGACCCTCCTTCCTCCCATCTTGCTCTTGGCTGGGCCTTCCATTATTCTTACCAGCAGTCCAGTGCATTGGCTGCTGTATAATGTTGCGCTGTACCCACATTCCTTAATATTAATGGAAAATTTGTGTTAATCTCTACCCTGTTAGATCTATTTTAGCCTGACCGAATATGATTTGAATATTATTGCCTGATTGCCTTGAATGCTGTTAGCTTCAAACATTGCTTAAGAAGTTTATTAAATTGTTATTAATTACAGTCTCACTCTGGACTGTCTGAACACATATGCTTGTTTAATAACCTTTACAGTCCAGTACTGACAAAATTGGTGCTGTTGGAGGCTCATTTATTACACATCTTAAGTTTGTTCTACTGCAAGACAAATAAAAAACAGCATTTTACAGCTCCAGGTGTGATTTCTGTCCTTCAATTATTTTCATTTTTTCAGGCAGGGTCTTTAACCAGAAATCCACATAGCTGTTTCTCAATTTCTCTGATTTCCGCTGTTCCAAGTTTAATTCCAGATACTCTTCGTTCGGTCCATAAGATGGCCATTCCACCAAACCTTGGCCATTTGGATTTCTGGAAATAGCAGAGCCAAGAATTCAGTTTGCATTCAGCATACTGGCATTACTTAATTGCAGCCATAAAAATTCAGTGTTTCAAAATAGCTAAAAGTCTCACCCATTACGGGCAAAGTTGCTCCAGTATTTCATGATTGTTCTGCTAAATTGTTTCTCATTCTCTGTAGCTTCACCTGTGCAGAACATACAAGAGAAAATACTTAGCCATACTACACATAATCTAATCTGGTATTTAAAGGCTTTAAAAGGATTTCCATCTATTCATGGGGAAAGTTTATCAGTAACTCCCAGCTATCTGCAATGATAGCTAAGCTGATTTCTATAAAGTAAAACTGAGGTTTTAGATATCAGCTCCTGGGGACACTCCATGTGAGAAGCCATCTCAGTTATGAAGTTTTCTGGAGTATGGGGTAGGGCATTTAGCCTAATTGTCCAATGGGATACCATATTTGTGCTGGGCAACCTTGTCATTAAAAAGTAGAATCTTCAAGGTCCACCAACATGTTTTCAGTTTGTGAAACAAAGCAAGACCATAGATCTGAGCAAGCATAACAGTTAAGACATCATCTTGCTGAATCAGTTCAAGGTTCTTGCAGTTAGCATTCTTTGCAAAACCTGCCAGCAACAAACAGCTAGGGCGAACTGGTTTGTTCAACAAGCTGTAGTTTAATTGTGAATCTCTGATCTGGATAGAATCAAACTAAAACTGATCTGCAC